TTCAGGACCGTTTCGGCGCTCGTCATGACGCCACCGACGCCTTAGACCGCGTCACCCAGACTAGATGGTCCGGGTCCTCTGTACCGACCGACCTGGAGCGTCACATCCGGGTGTTTCAGGACGCTCGCCTTGTTTGTGACGAGACGTTCCTACCGGAGGTCACACTCACTGACCGGTTCCTTGTCAGCCTGCCGACTGACTACCGCCTAGAGCTATGGAGGCGATCATTCTCTTCCTCGGAGCAGGCATACGAGGTTGCGCGTCAGTACCAGAGGATGTGCAGTCACTTCTCCGTCGCCCCATCCTCTTCGCGGCCAGCCGCCACCTCCCAGTCTTGGGGTACCACCCGAGGCCGCTCCTCGTTTGCCGGTGGTTTTCATCGCCCGGCTCGACCTGGAGCGCCATTCGCTCGGCACTACAGTTCTCTCGAGTATGGAGAGTACGCCTCAGCCGAGCTCGATCCTACCATTGGGGACGCCCTCGAGGACATCGAGCTTCGGGACATCATCCAGTACCACTTGGATGACGACACTGTCCCAATGGCCGAGCGCCTGCAGATGGCCATGTCTGTCATGGGTCGTGCACGCAGTCGGGTTGCACAGGCTGGCGCCCGCACACCCACAGTTCCTCAGATAGACCTCCCGTAAGGTTTTGTCCCTCCTCGCGGAGCTCTATCCCCCGAGGAGCGTGCCGCCCTCGAGGCCCGACGAGGCTGCCTTCGTTGCCGCCAGGATGGACACACCTCACGGTGTCCATACCACACCGCCCTCGATCGGTACTACACTGACATTTCTCGTTAGCGCCGATCTCAGTCCCCCCCCGGCCCCGCCCGGCCAGCCCCACCCAGCTAGCCACGGTGCAATGTACCCCTGAGGCCTCGCACGTAGCCGGCTTCCCAACCACCGAGTCACGGTTTGCCCCTTTGGCTACCCCACCAGAGGACCCTCAGGATACGACAGACGCAGTTCTCTCTGCCCCGACGTCTGTCGAGGTACTGTCTGCCTCCCCGCAGACCGCCACATCTAGCGCTTCTCCCCCGAGACTTCCGACGCGCCGCGCCATTCGCACAGCCCGTTGTAGCACTCGCAATGACGTTGTGTCATCTCTCCTGGACTTGAGCATTCTGCAGGCTCGTTAGGAGCGACTCACGAGGCACGTCAACGTCCTGCGTCGTCTTCTCGCTCTGCTCTCTGATCCTGATCGCACCCTACCCATTATCCCTATCCGCCTAGGGACATCTACAAGGGTGTATCGCGCTTTATGGGACTNCCTGATCGCACCCTACCCATTATCCCTATCCGCCTAGGGACATCTACAAGGGTGTATCGCGCTTTATGGGACTCCGGCTCGCAGGGAGATTTCGTTCACCCTCGAGTGGTTGAGGAAGCTCGCCTAGCTACCTCTGGGTCTCGCTCTCCTATCTCCGTTACCCTCGGAGATAACAAGACGCAACGCTTCTTCGATCAGACGGTCCCCAACCTCCACTTCTCCCTCACCCTCCAGCCATCGGATAGTACCCAGACGCCTAGGCGCTACCATTCCTCCGCATACTTCGACGTGGTGGAGACCGGGTACGACTTTATCCTTGGCACTCCCTGGTTTTGCCGGTTCCGCAGCACAGAGGCCGAATGGGCGACCGAGACACTCGTTCTCAAAACGAAGTGCGGCCAGATCCTTCGAGTCCCCTTCATTGGAACCACGGGTGACACCCCCCCAGACCTACCTCCCCAGGACCCTCGTCCCTCTGGGTCCCACCCAGACATCGCCTTCACTTCCCCTCGTCAGTTTGCTCACTTCATCCGACAGGAGGACGTCACATTCTACTCAGTGAACGTCATGGATCTTCTTCGCTATGATCCACTCTGTCCCAAGGTTGAGCTCATCTCACTGGAGCCCGATCCCCCTGACCCTTCCTCCATCTTCGCGGCTCCCATCTTCACATCCACCCGTCAGCCTGCGGATACCCCCTCCACGTCCCAGGCCCCTGCGCCGCCGACCGTCGAGTCCACATATATGTCTCGTGCCAACGCAGACGCTGAGGAACTCACACGGTTCACGGCAGACTTAGAGCCCGCCGTTCGCGACCTGATTCGAGAGTACCGCGGCGTCTTTCCCCCGTACTTCTCATACAGCGGGATTCCCCCGATGCGCGGTGTTGAGCATTCTATACAGCTCGTGCCTGACTATCGTGTTCACCATCAGGCACCGTACCGACTCTCGATTCCAGAGGCGACGGAACTCAAGCGTCAGCTTGAGGAGCTCCTTCGACTGGGTTTCATTAAACCCAGTAACTCCCCTTGGGGTGCACCTGTCCTCTTTGCTCGCAAAGCGGACGGAACTCTTCGCCTCTGCATCGACTACCGCGGCCTTAACCATTACACGGTTAAGAACAGCTATCCCATGCCCCTCGCGGATGAGCTGTTTGATCGTCTGGCAGGCAACCGCTTCTTCACGAAGATCGATCTTCGTAGCGGTTACCACCAGATCCGCATTGCCACAGAGGATCAACCGAAGACCGCCTTTCGGTCGCGCTTCGGCCACTACGAGTTCACGGTGATGCCATTCGGCCTCACCAATGCCCCCGCCACCTTCCAGACGGCGATGAACAACATCTTCAGGGACATCCTTGAAGAATACGTTCTCGTATACCTGGATGACATCTTGGTCTACAGTCGTACCTTAGAAGACCATCTCAGACACCTCCGCGATGTCCTATAGCGCTTACGCAAGCATGGTTTCTATGCCAAGCTCGGTAAGTGTCGCTTTGCCCAGCGCAAAGTGGACTTTCTAGGACACCATGTGTCTGACCAGGGTCTCCACATGGACGACGCGAAGATCACTGCTATTGCAGAGTGGCCCGTCCCCACATCTGCCAAGCAGCTTCGCAGTTTCCTAGGCCTCACCAGCTACTATAGTAATTTTATCCAGGGATACGCTAGGTATTCCTACGTCCTTACCTCTACCCTCCTCCGGAAGAACCCGCCGTGGTTTTGGACACCCCTGTGCGAGGACGCCTTTCACGCCCTCAAGAAGGCGGTGACCTGTGCGTCGGTTCTTCGCCTTCCCGATTTTGATCGCCCCTTTATCGTCACCACCGATGCGTCAGATTTTGCAGTAGGAGCTGTCCTTTCTCAGGTGTTTCTCTCTCCTCCAGATTCACCTTACCCCCATGTTCCTCCTTTCCCCCCCCCTCCTGCTGACACTGCTTCTCGACTGATGCCTACCCTCCCACCACTTCCCTCCACTGACAGTCCTCCTGTTACTTACTCCCCGACCATCGCGGAGGATGGGACTGTCGAGGCTCRTGCTGGGGATTGCCCGATCGCTTTCTACTCCCGTCAGCTACTGCCTGCCGGGATAAACTACACTGCCGATGAACGTGAGGTTCTCGCAGTAGTTTATGCTACCCGGCATTGGCGTCATTATCTGCACGGGGCGCCCTT